ACCGATGGCCTTGTTGATGCCATCATGGCTTCCACTGCTATCACCATTTCTAATTGCAAATTCAACCATCATAACGACGTAACGTTACTCTTTACTAGTTACTACCCTTAAAAAAAAGCCATATACTAGTAGTTAAAGTTTGATTACAAATGATGATTCAGGTGATGCTTTTGGGGGCAACTGATGCCTTTCCTCAAGATTCAATAATGCAAGTCACAGTAGCATTCAATCGGTTCGGGGAGGGATTGATTCAGAGGATGCCAAGGTGCAGATGGGGATTCTTCCATGTTGTCAACAATGACTACACTCATTGGCAAATGTACGCGATTGGTGGCAGCGCTCATCCAACCATTATCAGCCAGGGTAATCGTTTCAAGGCTGCCGATAATCCTAATACTAAGCAGGTAGGCTTCACCATTTTTTTTGGAAAATTCAAAAAAATGATTATATCAGGTAGGTTCACAAGTACCTAGTGACATAAGATAATCAGTTTTGGTAATGCAATAGTCTTTATCATACCACACTCTTCTCCTTTTAAGTCATTTTTGGTTGGAATCAAATCTATCAGCCTGGGGCGGAGCTATGTAGAGCCAAGATGGTTCAATTGGATTCCCTTCATCGTAAAATTATATTGTGATATAAAGACAAAATCGAGTTTGTTATTTATACATAAACTGTTGAATCCCCTTGATATGTAAGGGAAGATTCTAATGTTAAGCTAAAAGGTGCTTATAAATCAGTTTGATAAGCTTATACGCTTAGTCAAACACCCTCGTAGTAGCAAAAAGGGTTCAAAAGTTGCTTTAGTGTGACAAGTCTAATACTTTTTGAATCTCCTTTCATAAATTCTTGGCTCCGACACTGATCAACTCAAGACACTATCCTCTCTATTAGAAAATCGGTCTTAGCCAACAAAATAACATAATTTGCACTCTTTAGTTTGACATTGTACTTTTAGATGTATATAAATACCAACTATATGCACTATTTTCTTGTACTATGTGGATTGGTAACATAACATGATGGTGCTAAATGCAGGTGACTAAGAGGGATTACGCACCAGAATCCGAGTGGAAGAAGTGGCAATGGGTATCAGAGGGCGATTCGTTCTTAAATGGAGCTTATTTTGTGGAGTCAGGACCACAAGACAAGAAAAAAACTGCATTGACAAAAAATCATAAGATCAAGTTCAAGCCTGGTTCACATGCAGGACGGCTCACTCGCTTTGCTGGCGTGCTCAAGTGCAAACCCGGCATACCTTGTTAGCTAACGATCCGCTTACGTGCATATAATATGATGCATCAGTAAGAAGGAGCTAAGTAGATTGATGATTTTTTGACAGTAGAAGAATGGAAAATAGGATAAGAAAGAAATGGTTCTCATTTAGTTATGTTTTGTTTTAGTTTTAGTTTTCTTTCTTTGTCAATTCTTGTGACAGAAAAGGAAGTGTAGGTATCGTGAAAGTACGAACCAATTCTCGTGAAAAGAAAAAGAAGATATAATTATATTGATTTCTAGTTTTAGTTTTGGTGATTCCGTGCAATATAATATACCACTTCTCTATTGACCTTGATTTTCATTTGAAGATGTTAACTTGATAATTGAATCCAGTATGTTAGTCCCTGGTTGTTCGTCTGTGGGTTATGGTGCTTTTATGTAACATGGTCCTTTTCAGCCTGGTTGATCACAAAATTCTTGTTACATATTTTTGGTTCTTTAGGTCACTATATATCACAGTTTTTAGTATTGCTGCTTGATTACAACAGAATGCCTAATGTTAAGCCGATCAAGCTTAAATCAATCGCGTTAATGTTTACATTACGTTTTCACATTCAATCGTAGTAATCTTGGTTGGAAACCTTTTATAAGTAATCCCACGTGGTCTTAACTGTCTTGTACGGCCTGAGATTAAGAACAATAAGAGGGTCAATTGACCCTAGAATCCATGTCATCACTCGAGCATCTTTAATCTTCCATTTACCTAGCTTTGTTGGATCAGTTGGAGCAATGCATTGCTGCGGATGAGAACATTACTGCAGAGTGCAGCTGCACACCTACCATTTTAATTCAATATATATTCTAATCAGCCAAATCAAGATCAAAGAGCTGCCAACATTCAATCAATACAACAAAATACATTTACTAAATATTCTCTTATCAACTCAATATGAAAATCAACTTAAAGTAATTCAAATTTGGACAAATAAAACATAAAAGTTATAAGTTATATAATAGGATTTCAAAAATATCTTGCATTAACAAAACACATAACAAGTCTCATAAAACAACCTTAAAGTAAGGAATTTAAATTATATCTATTACAACTCTAAACTTCAATAATGCGGCAGTGTGTTGGCCACATGTTCCTCATCATCTTCCTCACTAATAGACTCCTCTATCGAATCTCTTTGTTGACCATAAACTGGATGTTGAGTAGGTTGAGATTGAGAGGATCAAGGAGGGCAAGCGACATCATCGGAACAAGGGAGAATCCCTCCCGAAGCAAGTAATGCATCAAATTGAGCCTTAAGACCCGCACACTCTTGTTTAATTTTAGCATCATCATAAAGTTTTTGTGTTTATATGTTGTTGTAAGATAACTGATAAGTCTCAAGAGATCTTGACATAGTTGAATTATAACCAATTGTGTATTTATGTTAAGGTAAGCATTGATAGACTTAGAGTGTGTTTGGTATAAAGGAAAATGTTTTCCTGGAAAGCAAGTAGATTTTTGACTTATTTTCTCATGTTTGGTTGGTGAGTAGAAAATATTTTTCGGAAAAGATTTTTAGTGTTTGGTTTATGAATGAAAAATGTTTTTGAGAAATATCTTATATTTTTATTAGAATAGAAAATAATTTTTAAAATTGAAAATATTTTTAAAAACAAACTTATTTTTTTTTTCAGGGTGGGGGTGGGGGTTGGTAGGGG